CAGTTTATTTATTTATTTTTTATTTTTTAAGGAAGAGGAAGAATATAAAAAAGACCTAAAAAAATAGACACTTTATTATTTCTTTATTCTCAAATGATAATTTCTTGAGTACTGATATTCTTAAATGAGTGAAATTTTCACGAATTAAATAATTTTAATGTAGGCATTAACGTATCTAAATAAATCATGCGAATTTATGTTTCTGAGCTTCAAAAATAACACGAAGAAATGAAATCACAGACCTTCAATAGTCCCTCATTGTAAAGGCTCCAATATATATTTATACAAGNAATTAAATAACAGCATTAAGAAAGTTTAAGACTTATCTTTAATCTAAGCAAATACTTTTATAAATAAGCAGTTTATAAACACATTATTATTTAGCTTAACAATTCCACAACATCCTGAAATCAAGAGGAATAGCATAAATTGATTACTCAAAAGATTTTGACAAAATATAGAGAAATAAACATCTTAATATATAGTGAAAATGGCTCTAACTTATTCCAAATGATAAATTATGGCACTTCTGTATAATATTTTATAAGTACCCAATATATAAAATACTAAAATTTTATTTGTATCTTTATTTTGAACCAGACTTTTATCCTTTAGAAGTAAAAAACATTGAGTTGCTGATAGAGTACTATCATATTAATCAGTGATTTCTTTAAGGTTTATTATATTAGTAATAAAAAAATTCTTTGAATGTAATAAATTAACATAACATTACTTATAATTAAGATTGTTTGATTGTTTATAATATAAAATTGAAAAGATTAAGATATTTTCATAAAATTTTACTCAGAATGTAAGAAGCTTTTTTAAAAAGATATGTCTAGGAAAAAGATCATTTCTGATTACTATATTGTGATACGTTGTCCTTGTTATCAGCTATCCAATACTTGTGATGGATTTGTCATTAATGATAATTTCAAGAAATTAGATTTTACTTGAAATATTTTTACAAACTTTCATATGCAAAACTGTATTTGTTTAGAAATGATTAGGTAAATGCTGTGAAGTGATATATCAAGATTGATTTCACTCATCATCATTTGCATTTATGGTTGCATTTCCCAACTATTAAGTTGTGGATTTTTAAGATGATGATTGTCTATTCCGGTGCTATAAAATTTGGAAAACGCTGCTTTAAAAAGGAAAAAAATATTAATTTAACACATACTTCATTAATTAAATAGATGCTATTTCCCAACTATTAAGTTGTGGATTTTTAAGATGATGATTGTCTATTCCGGTGCTATAAAATTTGGAAAACGCTGCTTTATAGAGGAAAAAAATATTAATTTAAAACTTGTTTAATGATTTTTAATGATAGAACTTTATTTGAAAAGAATTTATCACATTAAACATTTCTGTCTTTTACAAAAATTATAGCTTATTTTTGATAACTGATGAATACTTTAATCAAGGTGTTCATATGTTTTTATCACATATTTATGTTTTTATCATAATTTTTCCACTTTGCAACAATTGTTGCGGTGGTGTGTGTGAAGGGTTGGCGAGTGTTTTGATTTTAATATATAATAAAGACCAGCGAGTAGGAACATGGAACCGATGATCAGGTAAACAAATGATGGGATGATGACGAAGCCCAGTAAATNTAATAAAAAAATTCTTTGAATGTAATAAATTGACATAACATTACTTATAATTAAGATTGTTTGATTGTTTATAATATAAAATTGAAAAGATTAAGATATTTTCATAAAATTTTACTCAGAATGTAAGAAGCTTTTTTAAAAAGATATGTCTAGGAAAAAGATCATTTCTGATTACTATATTGTGATACGTTGTCCTTGTTATCAGCTATCCAATACTTGTGATGGATTTGTCATTAATGATAATTTCAAGAAATTAGATTTTACTTGAAATATTTTTACAAACTTTCATATGCAAAACTGTATTTGTTTAGAAATGATTAGGTAAATGCTGTGAAGTGATATATCAAGATTGATTTCACTCATCATCATTTGCATTTATGGTTGCATTTCCCAACTATTAAGTTGTGGATTTTTAAGATGATGATTGTCTATTCCGGTGCTATAAAATTTGGAAAACGCTGCTTTAAAAAGGAAAAAAATATTAATTTAACACATACTTCATTAATTGAATAGATGCTATTTCATTATAAATTAATAAGTTTATACTTTTATACTGTATAATTTATCATTTATGGCAATAAATATTGCTTTTAATTAACTTATTTATATTTGTCTGGAAAAACCTAATATCAATATTTAAAGTTAATTTCACAAGAAACACTAATTAAAATATTAATGCAAAAAATTTATGTAAGATTCTTTCTAATTGATTATAAAAATAAATTAGAACATAAAGTGTTTGTTTAATAAAATTTATTAGCAAATGAAAATATTTTTCTTGCATTATAAATTAAAACTATTTGTTAGAAATGTTTTTAGCATTTAAAATAAAATTTTAGTTAGTTAAAGTTAAATATAAAATGAAGTAAATTAAGATTAAAAATAAATTAAATGTTGAAATGTTTAAAAATTCATTATTATAGCAGATCAATAGCAAAATATTTTGTTTCTGATTCATAACAATTTTAATCAGTTTTATATTGTAAATTAACATAAATGATAACTGCTAGATATATTATGAGATTAATAGTGTTAAAGAATTTTTAGTTCATAGATCAAAATATATAATTTTGATTCAAACTAACATGGTTTATAGTTGTTCATTCATTCATTCTTAATAATAATTAGTTATGAACTGTCTCAAAAGATCTAGTTCAATTAAACTTTAATTTGTCATAAATATTTTGATGCTATTTAAAACTTTCTCCATTTTTTTAATTAAGAAATTTTTTAAGAACTAGTTTTTCTTTTTGATTATAATTTTTTAAATAAAGAGTGTATGATAAAAGGATAAAGTAATTTTCCAAAAAATGTATAGGCAGTTATATTAATAAATATTTTTATTCAGGATAAAATTAAAAACAAAGTAATCATTCAACAAAAAATGAATAAAAAAAAAGAATAATAATAAATGTTTTGTATTTTCAAACAAAAATTATTCATTTATATGGTACTCTTCTTGATGGAATATATATGTGTGAGTATTAGAAATGCTCGCATCGGTCAAAATAGCCAAAATGGAAAAACATACGAACGAGTTGAATATTTTTTGTAACTAATAAAATTTGGTATACTGGCTACTTTCCAAATCAGCATCTCATAACAATAATCTAATCTTTGGCATAAGGCCAACAGGAGGAACCATCTTGAGCTTCTTCGGGACAATCTAAAAGAAATGATGGAGAAATAAAAGGATCTAACATGATATAATGAGCAAACAAAGTGGGTGGAGGGGTCATAAAATTTCTTCGACTGATCTCATTATTATGATATTTCTCTCTTGTTCCTTTTGTTTTGAATTTTTCTTATTATCTAAATTTTCATAAAAATCTAAATTTGTTTGGTTTTTGTTTTTTCCTTTTTCATTTAGGAAAAAAAATCTACTATCTGATACATTAACATTTTGGATTCTGTAAAATTATGCTACTTGTATGTCAGAGGAAACATTTTTACTTTATTATTAATAAAATCATTTGAATAGTTATAATGGCAAACTGCCCATTTTCATGAGTAATTATCCTGAAAATATTTTCATTTTTAAATATTTCAATCAATGTTCTATTTTGAAGTAAAAAAATAAATAATTTCAATACTAAATATGAGAAGAATATGTAATTTTAAATTACTTTTTAGTATATTTTATATTATTTAATAATTTTTTATATGCTGTAAACGGTATTTATATTAGTTTATCATTTAATTATGTATATTATTCATATACATAAAAAGAAAGTAAAAACTTATGTGTTGCTATTTTAGTCTTTATATAATAGATTCTTTTATTAAATTTATGTAGCAATTGTCTAAATTTATTGACTAAATGTATTCTGACTTATTTATTATATTCTGCATTATTTATTTTTTGATTTCTGTAATTTTTTTAAAGTAATGCTTAAAATAAATCAACTTATCATACATTCTAAGTAGATTAAGTATTGCAGTTAATTGGGTTCTTTGTAATTTGTTACTGTTTTGCACTTTAGACATTAGTTAAAAATCTATTATTCTAATCCATTTAGACAAAAATCACGATCAATAAAATTATCACAGTAGAAAATAACTTAGTAAATTATTTCCAAATTCATGATTTAAGTTTTCAATAAACATTACAAGTTATTATAAAGCTAATTTTATTCATTTGGCTTAGACGTTACATATGATTTAGTTATGCAACCCCAAAGGTGAATAATTGAATAAATTTCAAAGCAAGAGTAAAATGATCAACATAATTTGCTGAATAAAGATAAACTGCTCAAAATGTTAGAAGATTTTCATGTTTTTATTTTTGTTCTTTCATTTTTAAGATAATTACATAATTTTAATCTTATAGTTTGTATACAGATGAGAATATTGTTTCATATTACAATTAAATTCAAGATTTATATGAATTTTTTGATAATATTTAATTTTAAAAATGAATAAAATTATACTATTTTTGTTATTGTAAATATATATTAAAAACATTCTGTTGATTTTGTAAACATAAAATATACTTTAGAACAAATTTAACTGCTAATGCATTTTCAATTAACTTCATTAGCTTAAAAAAATAGGATTATATTATGTTATGTTTAAAAGAAAAAGGACTTGTTTCTGTTACTAAAATAATGTTATTGCTGTTAATATTGATTTATGAAATTATATTAAAAATTTAAAAACTTGAAATGATTTAAAATGAAAACTATGGATTTCAAGTAAACTTTGATAAATAAATAAAATATAATTTTCATTAAAATAATAATAATAGAATATTCTAAAATTATATAAGAAATCTGTTTTGTTTTTTTGCCATTACATATATTATAATATACATTCACTGAATTTATTTTAAAATTTTTATTCAGAAAATAATAGAATTTTTTTCTTGTTTATTAGATATTTCTTAATGATGGAATGAGAAAATTTTAAAGGAGAGTGACATCATGAACTGCTAAATGTAAGAGTGATTCCTTCTGATAAGGAGTCCAGAATGAAAGTTAGTAAATTATCAACACAAGCAACAGATTTAGAAAACAATATTTTTAAGCTCTCAAAGTGTAATAAATTATCAAAAACAAAATCTACAGATAAAACTCGTAACATAAAAAAGACAAATATATTAAAAAGCTTAGATTGTGTAAAAGCCATTAAGAAATCTAAAAAGGAAAATATCAAATGTGTTGTGACAACAGGAAAGAAAAGAAAGTGTTCAGAAACAAATGAACATAATTCTAAATCTAAAGAGTGTAAGAGATTTGCAAACAATGTTAATTATTCAATAAAGGAAAATATTAAAAAACAGTTTAATGATACAGACAAGTTAAAACTTCATAACTATTCAAAATCTGCAAAAGAATGCAAATATCAAGAAAATTCAAAGAAAAAAGCAAAATTAAAACAACAAATTTTAAATGTTAAAAACAGTAAATTTAAAAAGCAACATCATTCTAATGTTACTAATGAGAAGAAACAAAAATCTCATTCAAAAGGTTTAAAAGAAAAGAAAGGAAAATTAAGCAAGCACAAAGATCATAATTTGAAATTGAACAAAAAATCAAAAATGAAAAGAAATCATTTAAAGGAGTCTAAACAAAGTTGTTTGAATATTCAAAATAAAATTTCAAATAAATCACTTTATGAACAATTAAGTAAAATGAAACTTTCAAGTGGCAGTTCCTCAGATAAAGATGTACCTATTAAAAAGAAAAAAGAAGTTATATGTAATGGATCATTATATAGTCCTGTTAAGAAAACTTATAAAGAAAAACAACAAAATTTTATTCCAAACAAAAAATTAAAGTGTAGAACTTTTGAAGAAAATATACCACCTCAAGAAAATTTGTCTAGTGTTTCTTCAACCAAGACTACGCCAACTTCGACATCTCGTTGTCACCGTGTGGCTAGTTTAAATGCAATAGCAAAAGTGCATATATTATTTGAGAATGAATTCAGAAACTCTAGTAACAATGAAAAAAAGGAAGATACAAAAAGAAAACTTTCTACCTCATTTTTAAAACATAATGTTGCAGCACCTAAACAAGAATTAGATAAAAAAGCAGGAAAAGAAATTAAAACAAAAGTACATGGAAAGAAAAATGCACAGCAAACCAAAAATATGAATATTGTTTCAACAGATAAAGGAGAAGAATTAAATAAAGAAAAGTCAGAAGAAAATGATTTGAATGGCACACGAAGGAGTAAAAGAATGGCAAGTATGAATGCACAAGCAATATTAGCTGTTACATGTTCTTTAAGACCAAGAAGAAAAAGTAATAAAGTGGCTATACCAGAACATATTTCCGTTTCAAGTACAGAAAGTGACATGACTGAAATACAAGTAAAATGGTCATCAGAAAAAGTACACCAAGAAGTGAATAATAAATCAAATTCTTCCACATCATATCATCAAAGTAAAGTAGTTATTATGGGTGTTAGAAGCACTAGAACACTCAAAGCAGATCAATTGAATAACCATTTAAAAGATATGAAAAAAAGCAAATCTAAATTAGGAAAGAAAAAGCCTGTCAGAAAAGATGACGACAACTTAGTACAAAATAACTTATGTAGTTATCATGCAGTTGCATCTAATAACAACATGGCAGTTAGCAGATTGGGTCTTACCAAATATACAAAAGTTACTAAAGTGCACATAAATACTAAAGGAATGGACTTGAAATCTCCAGAAGATTCAAACCTTCATGAAATAGAACAAGGAGAAATGGCTGTTATGAGCACTTATCGTTATCAGACAAAAGACAGTTGCTATCACCACTGGCGAACCATGTTTAGCAAACCAGTGCCTGGTCAGCTATCTAACCAGACAGATGCTGACTGTAGTGGATGTTATTTAACTAATCCAACACATACATATTCATATCCAGCAAATTCTGGTTCATTATCCATTCCAGGTGTTGGTGCAGATGAAGCAAGAGATTGTTGCATAAATGGTTGTGATCCAACTTCTTCAGTGCCATGTAATGTGGATAGATGTAGTAAGTGGCATTTTCTTAATACACTTTTAAATTTATTTACTTTCTAATCTTTCAGTTTGAGTAATTAATTGCATAATTACAGTAATTAGATATATTATTAACTAAAAATACTTTGTTTTATTATAAAATAAATGATTAAATACAATACCTTATAGAAATTTATTGATTTTGTGTAACATTCTGCCATCTGTTGAGAAATTTTGTAGTGATAAAAGCAGAATATAAATCATTTATACTTAAATTCTTTATTCTACAGAAACATTCATATATTTGATAATATATTCTATGATTTTACTATAAGTCTACAACATAGTTTTATTTAACATTTTAATTCCAATTTGCGGTTATATTATAAAACAAAACATTTAATTCTGTGCTAAAAATTTTAGTTTTAATACATAGATATTTGATTTAATATTTATTGAAAGATAATCTATACAAGAAATTTTGTGTAATATTAGTAAAATTGTAAATGTTTTATTTTTTTACAGACTGTCAACAAAATGATCCCTATTTCCAACGAATAATTGATCCCTTCTGTAATAATAAATCTGTTTATCCTGCACAGCCATCTTGTCTTACTCTTCAGCAACAGAACTCAAATTTAACTTGTTGTTCAGGAGAACAAAGTGTACCACAGGAAACTCATCATGCTAGCACATGTACGAGACAGGAAAGACTTTGTTCTGTAGACCAATGTCATCAACAATTATCTAATTTTCAGACACATTATACAGATGCATCAAATCCAAATAATCAGTCTTGCCAACAGACATATCCAAATAGATATTCATACAATGTCCATTGTCATCGAGCCTGCCAACTGCATAAATTTTCATTTCCGTGTCATGGCTGTACAACCCCAAACCATATCCATAGGTCTCATTTACACTCCTGTTTGAATTACCAAAAAGCACTTTCGTCTCATAGCCAAGATATATGTCCTCCTGCACCTCATTCTCCTAATCCACCACTTGCAGCTCCGACTTCAGATTCGGCAGCTTCTCTAGCAGCAAAAGTACCAAGACCGGAATTATTAATGCCACAGGAAGCAAACCTTCCAACCGAAGGAAAGCTTTCAATCGAAGATGGAAGTTATAAATATTGTTTAGTTTGTGAAAATGACAGAAATATAAAATGTGTGCCTTCAAGTAGATCAAGCCTTTTGAATCAGGATTCTCTAAATAATTCTGAATCATTATACTTTAATTCTACAACAGCAGATAAACAACGATTGAGATCAATAGTTGAAGATATTCAATTATCACAGAGTGGGAAAATAAATAATTGTAAATTTACAAATGAAAAAGTAAATAAGAAGCATCAACTTGAAAATAAACATCCATCCCGAAAATCTTTCAAATTTCTGAAATTGAATCAAAAATGGAGGCGATCCGAAAGCCCAGAAGATGATATTCCATTGTGCAATTTGAACAAGCAGCAAGTGTCAACAGGCTTCTCGCAGTTGGATAATGGCACGGTTAATGAAGATTTACAAAAATCTACAAAAAGGCATAGAAAACAAACATTATCTAAATTTTCAAATCATAAAAAGCTGTGCAACAAAGATTCAGATAGTACATGTGTTAAATTAAAGAAATTAGAAGAAATTATACCAAAGTTAACATTACACTCTTCCATTCCTAGAAGAATTGGAAAAACAAAATATTCAAATGGATGGTCGTGGGAAGGCGAACCTTTTGAAAAACTAGTCTTGTTAAATGTAAGAAATATTCATATTAATATGAAAATTAGTTTTTAATGATTTAATATAATTGTTATTGACAAAAAAAAATATAAATTACTTATATTGTCTTTTTAATAATTTCTTGTAATATAATTTGTTTTTTATTTCATTTAATAATAATTCAGTATAGTCAGAAATATAAAAATTGAATTAAAACTTTTAAAGATTATGCAATTGGCCTGAAAATATTTTATATTGCAAGAATAAATCATTATTTTACTTATATATTTTGAAATGATTCGTTACTAAGTACATAAAAAAAATTTTTTTTTTAATTTTATAATATTTTTTAGTTAAAATTTAAACATCATCTTAAATTTTGATATTTATAATTTAAGAGACACTTTAATAATGTACAGAAGAAAAACTAAAATAAAATTTTAGAATAAAAAATTATTTACAACTTTACCAGTTTTAAAAATTTTTAATTTAGAATGTTAATTTAAAGTAAAAATATAATTTATATTTTTTCAAAACTAAACAAAATTAAATTATTTCAAATATAAAATACAATTTGATTAAATATGACAAAAAATTTCGGATTACATTATACTAAATGTCAAGAATTATAAATAAATGGACCCCCCTATAATGCGTTATACAGGTCAATATTCATAAAATGTTTCTAACTTTTTGCTATTTTGCCATTACAACACACTCACAGTTCATATATAATACATGGTTCTTATAACACAGTTTTCTATAGTATAGAATGTATCCCCATGTTGTACAGGGATTCACTGTACTTTACATGTATTTACAATGTGTACATAATGCTAATAATACATAATAAATTTACATGCATTGCATTATGAAGTCAGTACTTATCAATTGTTGGGAATATTTTTAGTTGTCTGACAGTAAACAAAAATCTAATAGAAATGCTGATTAGAAGTGATTTTTCTCTTTCAAATAAGTAAATAACAGAAACAATATTGAAATTTTTATTATATTCTTAACTGTTAAGTTGAGGTTTACGTAAAAAATTAAAAAAGCTTAATTTTGGATGGTTATTTCTGTTTGAAGAAATTGGCTTTTATATTAATAGTACAGAAAAAGTTTAAATTACAACTCTTCTACTTATATAAATGATACTTCAGATGGTTAAAGTTTTTCATTGATAAGTATGTCATTACAGGAAGTTTGAAAATGTTCTTTTCTCAATATAAATTTTATATTTACTATTTATTGTTAGAATATAATGATTAAAATAGAATTCATAACTGATTCAGTTTTTCAAAAATAGAAACAATTTTCTAATTAAAGGTGATGGTTAGAATAGGACTTTATGAAAGTTGCCATATATACAGTATACAAATAAACACAACTAAAAATTATTTATAAATATACATAATTTATATTTACATATTTTTGTGCTGTTTGACTAGATTTGGATTAAAATTTTAAATATTTATAGAAGTAAATAAATCATAAAGATAAATTTTAGAAATATTAAAAAAAAAATTTTTTTTAAGAATTTTCTTGTTTATTTAATTAAAAAAAGTAAGTTACATTCAGAAAGAGTTCAGTTCTGAAAATTATGTTTTTGAATAAAGCATATCAATTTTTACAGCCCATTTTTAAATTTAAATTATGTCATTTAAATCTAACATTCAGCTGAACAAGAGTTAATTTACAATTGAAACTTTCTGTTGTTTAAACATTATAGAAAAAAATTTAATTTGTTAATTCTAAAGCTGGAAATATCTTCTAAATACTAAAATTCATACTTTTCTCTCACTTTCCAGCATTCACTGATTAAAAGCAAATGTTTTAGGCTATCTTCATCAGGTTAAGCAGATTCTATATCAAATGTCTATGGCAGGTTTGAAGTTTGGAATAATACCGCTTTTCTTTGACGTAATTGTCTTTGAAATTTAATAATGGATATTTAAATATGAAAACATTAATAATTATATTGACAATATTTTATATAAGAGGATATATTTCATTCATAATAATAATGAATTTCCTTGCTAGGATAATCTTAAATGATATTTTAAATGATAATTTGGACTTATGCAGTTTCGAATCATGGTTTAACATTCTAAAAATATCTTCGCCATGAGCATTCACAAAATAAAATCTAAGAGAGTAAATGACTTAAAGCTATTTAGTGCCACAGGGTAGAAGAGGATAAAAATGAAGAAAGCTATATAGTGAGATGATGATGTATTGAAAGATTGTAAGAATACATCTTAAACTTTGATTTACAATAGCATTTTACTATATTAATATAAATATAGTTTGAACATTTACACAATCTTAAGTTTTTTATAGTACAGTATAGTTAGTTAAAATATTAGTTTTCATGAAAATTTTTATCATATTATTGATAACAATGATAAATCCTACTAATTTTATGCCATGATGCAAAATTTCTGGTTATGGAATTCAAGGATGTTTCTTCTTGTTGCCATGTGTTTTATTGAGAAATATTAAATTCTTTTAAAAATTTTGGAAGATTAATGATATTTCTATATATAGAGAAATTTAAGCTGATGTTTATTTTATATAAGAAATAGTTATATGTTATATTTTTTTATATTTCTTTCAAAAATAGGCAGTATTTTTGTATCTACAGTAAGTGTTTATAATAGATTTATTTCATTTTTTTAAACAGAACGATGATATACCCCGTCTCAGGAAATGTTATTCTGCAATGCGTCATGTAGAAGGTGATGTTATAAGAGTTCGGGATTGTGTGTTACTAAAGTCTGGACCTCGCAAAGCTGATCTGCCTTATGTAGCNATTCTGACTTATTTATTATATTCTGCATTATTTATTTTTTGATTTCTGTAATTTTTTTAAAGTAATGCTTAAAATAAATCAACTTATCATACATTCTAAGTAGATTAAGTATTGCAGTTAATTGGGTTCTTTGTAATTTGTTACTGTTTTGCACTTTAGACATTAGTTAAAAATCTATTATTCTAATCCATTTAGACAAAAATCACGATCAATAAAATTATCACAGTAGAAAATAACTTAGTAAATTATTTCCAAATTCATGATTTAAGTTTTCAATAAACATTACAAGTTATTATAAAGCTAATTTTATTCATTTGGCTTAGACGTTACATATGATTTAGTTATGCAACCCCAAAGGTGAATAATTGAATAAATTTCAAAGCAAGAGTAAAATGATCAACATAATTTGCTGAATAAAGATAAACTGCTCAAAATGTTAGAAGATTTTCATGTTTTTATTTTTGTTCTTTCATTTTTAAGATAATTACATAATTTTAATCTTATAGTTTGTATACAGATGAGAATATTGTTTCATATTACAATTAAATTCAAGATTTATATGAATTTTTTGATAATATTTAATTTTAAAAATGAATAAAATTATACTATTTTTGTTATTGTAAATATATATTAAAAACATTCTGTTGATTTTGTAAACATAAAATATACTTTAGAACAAATTTAACTGCTAATGCATTTTCAATTAACTTCATTAGCTTAAAAAAATAGGATTATATTATGTTATGTTTAAAAGAAAAAGGACTTGTTTCTGTTACTAAAATAATGTTATTGCTGTTAATATTGATTTATGAAATTATATTAAAAATTTAAAAACTTGAAATGATTTAAAATGAAAACTATGGATTTCAAGTAAACTTTGATAAATAAATAAAATATAATTTTCATTAAAATAATAATAATAGAATATTCTAAAATTATATAAGAAATCTGTTTTGTTTTTTTGCCATTACATATATTATAATATACATTCACTGAATTTATTTTAAAATTTTTATTCAGAAAATAATAGAATTTTTTTCTTGTTTATTAGATATTTCTTAATGATGGAATGAGAAAATTTTAAAGGAGAGTGACATCATGAACTGCTAAATGTAAGAGTGATTCCTTCTGATAAGGAGTCCAGAATGAAAGTTAGTAAATTATCAACACAAGCAACAGATTTAGAAAACAATATTTTTAAGCTCTCAAAGTGTAATAAATTATCAAAAACAAAATCTACAGATAAAACTCGTAACATAAAAAAGACAAATATATTAAAAAGCTTAGATTGTGTAAAAGCCATTAAGAAATCTAAAAAGGAAAATATCAAATGTGTTGTGACAACAGGAAAGAAAAGAAAGTGTTCAGAAACAAATGAACATAATTCTAAATCTAAAGAGTGTAAGAGATTTGCAAACAATGTTAATTATTCAATAAAGGAAAATATTAAAAAACAGTTTAATGATACAGACAAGTTAAAACTTCATAACTATTCAAAATCTGCAAAAGAATGCAAATATCAAGAAAATTCAAAGAAAAAAGCAAAATTAAAACAACAAATTTTAAATGTTAAAAACAGTAAATTTAAAAAGCAACATCATTCTAATGTTACTAATGAGAAGAAACAAAAATCTCATTCAAAAGGTTTAAAAGAAAAGAAAGGAAAATTAAGCAAGCACAAAGATCATAATTTGAAATTGAACAAAAAATCAAAAATGAAAAGAAATCATTTAAAGGAGTCTAAACAAAGTTGTTTGAATATTCAAAATAAAATTTCAAATAAATCACTTTATGAACAATTAAGTAAAATGAAACTTTCAAGTGGCAGTTCCTCAGATAAAGATGTACCTATTAAAAAGAAAAAAGAAGTTATATGTAATGGATCATTATATAGTCCTGTTAAGAAAACTTATAAAGAAAAACAACAAAATTTTATTCCAAACAAAAAATTAAAGTGTAGAACTTTTGAAGAAAATATACCACCTCAAGAAAATTTGTCTAGTGTTTCTTCAACCAAGACTACGCCAACTTCGACATCTCGTTGTCACCGTGTGGCTAGTTTAAATGCAATAGCAAAAGTGCATATATTATTTGAGAATGAATTCAGAAACTCTAGTAACAATGAAAAAAAGGAAGATACAAAAAGAAAACTTTCTACCTCATTTTTAAAACATAATGTTGCAGCACCTAAACAAGAATTAGATAAAAAAGCAGGAAAAGAAATTAAAACAAAAGTACATGGAAAGAAAAATGCACAGCAAACCAAAAATATGAATATTGTTTCAACAGATAAAGGAGAAGAATTAAATAAAGAAAAGTCAGAAGAAAATGATTTGAATGGCACACGAAGGAGTAAAAGAATGGCAAGTATGAATGCACAAGCAATATTAGCTGTTACATGTTCTTTAAGACCAAGAAGAAAAAGTAATAAAGTGGCTATACCAGAACATATTTCCGTTTCAAGTACAGAAAGTGACATGACTGAAATACAAGTAAAATGGTCATCAGAAAAAGTACACCAAGAAGTGAATAATAAATCAAATTCTTCCACATCATATCATCAAAGTAAAGTAGTTATTATGGGTGTTAGAAGCACTAGAACACTCAAAGCAGATCAATTGAATAACCATTTAAAAGATATGAAAAAAAGCAAATCTAAATTAGGAAAGAAAAAGCCTGTCAGAAAAGATGACGACAACTTAGTACAAAATAACTTATGTAGTTATCATGCAGTTGCATCTAATAACAACATGGCAGTTAGCAGATTGGGTCTTACCAAATATACAAAAGTTACTAAAGTGCACATAAATACTAAAGGAATGGACTTGAAATCTCCAGAAGATTCAAACCTTCATGAAATAGAACAAGGAGAAATGGCTGTTATGAGCACTTATCGTTATCAGACAAAAGACAGTTGCTATCACCACTGGCGAACCATGTTTAGCAAACCAGTGCCTGGTCAGCTATCTAACCAGACAGATGCTGACTGTAGTGGATGTTATTTAACTAATCCAACACATACATATTCATATCCAGCAAATTCTGGTTCATTATCCATTCCAGGTGTTGGTGCAGATGAAGCAAGAGATTGTTGCATAAATGGTTGTGATCCAACTTCTTCAGTGCCATGTAATGTGGATAGATGTAGTAAGTGGCATTTTCTTAATACACTTTTAAATTTATTTACTTTCTAATCTTTCAGTTTGAGTAATTAATTGCATAATTACAGTAATTAGATATATTATTAACTAAAAATACTTTGTTTTATTATAAAATAAATGATTAAATACAATACCTTATAGAAATTTATTGATTTTGTGTAACATTCTGCCATCTGTTGAGAAATTTTGTAGTGATAAAAGCAGAATATAAATCATTTATACTTAAATTCTTTATTCTACAGAAACATTCATATATTTGATAATATATTCTATGATTTTACTATAAGTCTACAACATAGTTTTATTTAACATTTTAATTCCAATTTGCGGTTATATTATAAAACAAAACATTTAATTCTGTGCTAAAAATTTTAGTTTTAATACATAGATATTTGATTTAATATTTATTGAAAGATAATCTATACAAGAAATTTTGTGTAATATTAGTAAAATTGTAAATGTTTTATTTTTTTACAGACTGTCAACAAAATGATCCCTATTTCCAACGAATAATTGATCCCTTCTGTAATAATAAATCTGTTTATCCTGCACAGCCATCTTGTCTTACTCTTCAGCAACAGAACTCAAATTTAACTTGTTGTTCAGGAGAACAAAGTGTACCACAGGAAACTCATCATGCTAGCACATGTACGAGACAGGAAAGACTTTGTTCTGTAGACCAATGTCATCAACAATTATCTAATTTTCAGACACATTATACAGATGCATCAAATCCAAATAATCAGTCTTGCCAACAGACATATCCAAATAGATATTCATACAATGTCCATTGTCATCGAGCCTGCCAACTGCATAAATTTTCATTTCCGTGTCATGGCTGTACAACCCCAAACCATATCCATAGGTCTCATTTACACTCCTGTTTGAATTACCAAAAAGCACTTTCGTCTCATAGCCAAGATATATGTCCTCCTGCACCTCATTCTCCTAATCCACCACTTGCAGCTCCGACTTCAGATTCGGCAGCTTCTCTAGCAGCAAAAGTACCAAGACCGGAATTATTAATGCCACAGGAAGCAAACCTTCCAACCGAAGGAAAGCTTTCAATCGAAGATGGAAGTTATAAATATTGTTTAGTTTGTGAAAATGACAGAAATATAAAATGTGTGCCTTCAAGTAGATCAAGCCTTTTGAATCAGGATTCTCTAAATAATTCTGAATCATTATACTTTAATTCTACAACAGCAGATAAACAACGATTGAGATCAATAGTTGAAGATATTCAATTATCACAGAGTGGGAAAATAAATAATTGTAAATTTACAAATGAAAAAGTAAATAAGAAGCATCAACTTGAAAATAAACATCCATCCCGAAAATCTTTCAAATTTCTGAAATTGAATCAAAAATGGAGGCGATCCGAAAGCCCAGAAGATGATATTCCATTGTGCAATTTGAACAAGCAGCAAGTGTCAACAGGCTTCTCGCAGTTGGATAATGGCACGGTTAATGAAGATTTACAAAAATCTACAAAAAGGCATAGAAAACAAACATTATCTAAATTTTCAAATCATAAAAAGCTGTGCAACAAAGATTCAGATAGTACATGTGTTAAATTAAAGAAATTAGAAGAAATTATACCAAAGTTAACATTACACTCTTCCATTCCTAGAAGAATTGGAAAAACAAAATATTCAAATGGATGGTCGTGGGAAGGCGAACCTTTTGAAAAACTAGTCTTGTTAAATGTAAGAAATATTCATATTAATATGAAAATTAGTTTTTAATGATTTAATATAATTGTTATTGACAAAAAAAAATATAAATTACTTATATTGTCTTTTTAATAATTTCTTGTAATATAATTTGTTTTTTATTTCATTTAATAATAATTCAGTATAGTCAGAAATATAAAAATTGAATTAAAACTTTTAAAGATTATGCAATTGGCCTGAAAATATTTTATATTGCAAGAATAAATCATTATTTTACTTATATATTTTGAAATGATTCGTTACTAAGTACATAAAAAAAATTTTTTTTTTAATTTTATAATATTTTTTAGTTAAAATTTAAACATCATCTTAAATTTTGATATTTATAATTTAAGAGACACTTTAATAATGTACAGAAGAAAAACTAAAATAAAATTTTAGAATAAAAAATTATTTACAACTTTACCAGTTTTAAAAATTTTTAATTTAGAATGTTAATTTAAAGTAAAAATATAATTTATATTTTTTCAAAACTAAACAAAATTAAATTATTTCAAATATAAAATACAATTTGATTAAATATGACAAAAAATTTCGGATTACATTATACTAAATGTCAAGAATTATAAATAAATGGACCCCCCTATAATGCGTTATACAGGTCAATATTCATAAAATGTTTCTAACTTTTTGCTATTTTGCCATTACAACACACTCACAGTTCATATATAATACATGGTTCTTATAACACAGTTTTCTATAGTATAGAATGTATCCCCATGTTGTACAGGGATTCACTGTACTTTACATGTATTTACAATGTGTACATAATGCTAATAATACATAATAAATTTACATGCATTGCATTATGAAGTCAGTACTTATCAATTGTTGGGAATATTTTTAGTTGTCTGACAGTAAACAAAAATCTAATAGAAATGCTGATTAGAAGTGATTTTTCTCTTTCAAATAAGTAAATAACAGAAACAATATTGAAATTTTTATTATATTCTTAACTGTTAAGTTGAGGTTTACGTAAAAAATTAAAAAAGCTTAATTTTGGATGGTTATTTCTGTTTGAAGAAATTGGCTTTTATATTAATAGTACAGAAAAAGTTTAAATTACAACTCTTCTACTTATATAAATGATACTTCAGATGGTTAAAGTTTTTCATTGATAAGTATGTCATTACAGGAAGTTTGAAAATGTTCTTTTCTCAATATAAATTTTATATTTACTATTTATTGTTAGAATATAATGATTAAAATAGAATTCATAACTGATTCAGTTTTTCAAAAATAGAAACAATTTTCTAATTAAAGGTGATGGTTAGAATAGGACTTTATGAAAGTTGCCATATATACAGTATACAAATAAACACAACTAAAAATTATTTATAAATATACATAATTTATATTTACATATTTTTGTGCTGTTTGACTAGATTTGGATTAAAATTTTAAATATTTATAGAAGTAAATAAATCATAAAGATAAATTTTAGAAATATTAAAAAAAAAATTTTTTTTAAGAATTTTCTTGTTTATTTAATTAAAAAAAGTAAGTTACATTCAGAAAGAGTTCAGTTCTGAAAATTATGTTTTTGAATAAAGCATATCAATTTTTACAGTCCATTTTTAAATTTAAATTATGTCATTTAAATCTAACATTCAGCTGAACAAGAGTTAATTTACAATTGAAACTTTCTGTTGTTTAAACATTATAGAAAAAAATTTAATTTGTTAATTCTAAAGCTGGAAATATCTTCTAAATACTAAAATTCATACTTTTCTCTCACTTTCCAGCATTCACTGATTAAAAGCAAATGTTTTAGGCTATCTTCATCAGGTTAAGCAGATTCTATATCAAATGTCTATGGCAGGTTTGAAGTTTGGAATAATACCGCTTTTCTTTGACGTAATTGTCTTTGAAATTTAATAATGGATATTTAAATATGAAAACATTAATAATTATATTGACAATATTTTATATAAGAGGATATATTTCATTCATAATAATAATGAATTTCCTTGCTAGGATAATCTTAAATGATATTTTAAATGATAATTTGGACTTATGCAGTTTCGAATCATGGTTTAACATTCTAAAAATATCTTCGCCATGAGCATTCACAAAATAAAATCTAAGAGAGTAAATGACTTAAAGCTATTTAGTGCCACAGGGTAGAAGAGGATAAAAATGAAGAAAGCTATATAGTGAGATGATGATGTATTGAAAGATTGTAAGAATACATCTTAAACTTTGATTTACAATAGCATTTTACTATATTAATATAAATATAGTTTGAACATTTACACAATCTTAAGTTTTTTATAGTACAGTATAGTTAGTTAAAATATTAGTTTTTATGAAAATTTTTATCATATTATTGATAACAATGATAAATCCTACTAATTTTATGCCATGATGCAAAATTTCTGGTTATGGAATTCAAGGATGTTTCTTCTTGTTGCCATGTGTTTTATTGAGAAATATTAAATTCTTTTAAAAATTTTGGAAGATTAATGATATTTCTATATATAGAGAAATTTAAGCTGATGTTTATTTTATATAAGAAATAGTTATATGTTATATTTTTTTATATTTCTTTCAAAAATAGGCAGTATTTTTGTATCTACAGTAAGTGTTTATAATAGATTTATTTCATTTTTTTAAACAGAACGATGATATACCCCGTCTCAGGAAATGTTATTCTGCAATGCGTCATGTAGAAGGTGATGTTATAAGAGTTCGGGATTGTGTGTTACTAAAGTCTGGACCTCGCAAAGCTGATCTGCCTTATGTAGCAAAAGTAGTTGCATTGTGGGAAAACTTTGAAGATGGTATTAATATACTATATTTATCTATTTTTAATTAATAAAAGTTTTAGAAAGTTTTAAATTTATAGAGCTAATGATACAAAATTATTATTTAATACATTGTCATAATTATTCCGTTATTAGGTGAAATGATGCTCAGTTTGTTATGGTATTATCGGCCTGAACATACAGATCAAGGAAGAAAGGCACATCATATGGAAGATGAAATATTTGCTTCCAAACATAGAGATATAAATAGTGTAGCATGTATTGAAGATAAATGTTATGTTTTAACTTTTGGTGAATATTGCAGGTAAGGAAATTATAAATTACTATTAAATTTTTTACTTGGAATTATTTATTTGATTACTTTAAATGTGTGTGCATTCTTTACTTACATTTTAATCAAATATCACTATTTAATTTTGATTAAAAAATAAATTATTAAGATCAAGCTTTTCTTTGAAATATATCATAAATATTCTTGATATAGGTTTATTCAAATAAATAATTTTGTTTTTTAGATAAGTCTAGTTAAAGTATTATCTGTTCTGTAAAAGAGTTTATAGTTGAAAAATTCAACTACAAACTTCTTTATAACAGCACACTGATAAGATACAAATGATTACAACTGAATTTTTCAACAATGATAAACTGTAATGACAATTATTTAATTGTTTAGGAGCATAGTTTTGAGAAATTTCTTGATATAATTCATGAAGCATACATAAAAAAAAATNAAAGCAAGAGTAAAATGATCAACATAATTTGCTGAATAAAGATAAACTGCTCAAAATGTTAGAAGATTTTCATGTTTTTATTTTTGTTCTTTCATTTTTAAGATAATTACATAATTTTAATCTTATAGTTTGTATACAGATGAGAATATTGTTTCATATTACAATTAAATTCAAGATTTATATGAATTTTTTGATAATATTTAATTATTTCAGTTTTATGATTGATTTTTAATTATTTTATTGTCTCAATTATTATTATAATTTTTTTATTTTTATTTAGATACCGTGCCTGGCTTAAAATGTTAGAAGAAGGTACGAGACCAAAAGTTTCACCCGTACCAGATATGGAAGAGTGTTATATTCGTAAAGATAGACTTCCACCTGGTAGAGTCTCTTCAGAAATGATTTTTTTCTGTCACAAAGTGTATGATTTTCGCCAAAGACGCATATTGAAGAATCCTACATGAACAGTGTAATTATATTGGTTCTTGTTTCCTGTGAGAATATATTTATCATATTTCTTATTTGTGACATTTGTCACTAGAAGAAGAAATATATTCAATTTGATGAAACTGTAAGCTTATTTTAAGAGCTTCGTGTTTTTTGAGAGGGGTAACAAATATAAAAATGTCCACCAAAAGAAAATTATATCAATTTTTCTAAATGAAAAATAAATTCATAAATAATTGCAGAATGGCAATGAAAGCAAAGTACTGTCAAACGATATCAAGCAGATATTGTTTGCAAAGGTTTGGTGGAACAAATTATTCAAAGAAGTAGATTAATTTAAGAATGAATTTATTTATTTAAATATTAAAAGATATCAATCTAGATTGTCTTGTACAGTATATTGGCCAAATCTTAAAAAAAAAAGAAAAAAAGAAAAAAATTGTTCACTCATAATTACTAAACTATCATTAATTTAATTGTTGAGAAATATTCTAGAAACTGCACTTGATGAGCCTCATCACTTTTAATTGTTATTGTTGTTTGTGATTCATAGTGATACAGTGACCTGTAGTATATGTATTTTTTAGCAGATATACAGTTTAGGATTCAAAGATTTACAAAAAAGGAATATAACTTTCTTGTTATAATTTTTTTTTCTTTTTGGTAAAGATATATTTAAATATGTAAACTACCTAAAAGCAAAAAAAAGAATATTTTAAACACTATTTCACTGTCAGAACAGAAAAATTATGGCTTCCATTGAGTACCAACATTGTATTAAAATATGCAGTCTGCCAAATTTGAATCCATCTTTCTCATTTACTATATATTTAATCGATACACCCACTTCAAATTGTAAATTTTATTAAAAACATGAACAGAATTTCATTAAATTGCATAAATGGATTGCTTTTAAGTAGTTTACATACATATTTATATTAGTGTCTTTGTAATGCCAAACTAGTCTTTGTACTTTATTCGATAAAGTTATATATTAGGAATGCACCTGGGAACATTTTTATAGTAGTCACTCTTCACATGTATCATTTAAAATACTGTATCTTTGCTGATAAAATGAAAAAAAAAAATTATATCAGTAATTCTTTAAAAATTATAGTTTGCATCTAGTAAATATGAAAATCTATTATAGTAACTATTGGAATTTTAGTAATGATATTCATCCTCATATCACCAGCATCAATAATTATGTTAAAAGATGTTTCTTATTTTGCAGAGTTTTTTGCCCATTCCACTCTGTTGACTATTCTATCATTATTTTTGTTTTTTAATTTTATATTTACATTCCTTTCAAAACATCATTTTTAATCTTCCATTAAATTAATACAGTTATTATAGTTATATATAGTAGTGCCTCATTATATATACAGTGATAAAAAAATATCTTTGTCCATTGTCCATAATTATATTCCTGATTGAAAGTTTTTTTTTCAAAAATTTGGTTTGCATAACATAAGAAAAAAAGTTACTGCTGTAAAACTATTTGTACAAATCAAACCGAATTGTAATAATCAGAATATAAACTTGTGTATGCTTTTTTCTTTAATTGTCATTTCCAGATGAAAAGAATCATCGGAAACAGGAAAAAAAAGGCACGATATCCTTGCTACGAATTCTTTTTCTGTATACTTCTACATTACTGTGGATGGAAGATTTCTGTAGATTCGGTCAGCTGTGTTGGTATATAATAGAATGTTGTATTTGAATATTATCTCTGATCAGTTTTCTTATTTCGAATTTACATATATCTCTTACAGACAATACAAAAGAAGTAAAGATGATAAATGGTACATAAATCAGTTGTATTGATAATGCTAACTGGTCGTCATTACTGTGCGGTACTGTACAATGTATTGCAGCATTTATCATCTTTATTTTAATGATTAATGAGCATATTGAACAAATTAAAACAGAAAAATATTGATTATATATCATAAAATTTATCATGAAATATATATAAATATAAAAAAAATTATTTCACTTTCCATTTTGATCATTTATTAAATACATTTTCAAATAAGTCATAAGACATAAGTCAATTTTTGTATGTTTTTGATAACCATTCAAAAATATGAAAACAATAATAAAACAATATTTTAATCTTGGCATTTTATACATTTTAAAAACAAGAAATTGCCTAATTCATATATCAGACATTTGTCTTTTAAAATTGATAAAGTATACATAATATATTTTTATGTAAACTTTTAATATTATAAAAGTTTACATAGTTATTTTATGTATATTATCAGGAAAATTTCACATATTACAATTATTCACTAGACAATTTTTCCTGTCTAGTGAATAAAAATTACCATTTCTTAGTAGTTTTTATAATTAAATACTTAAAAATTCTCAAACTATAATATATAAATTTATTAAAATGAAAAAAGTATGCATAAGTTAAAAATGTTTGTATAAATTTCAAAATTGATTTGAATTTTAACAAAAATATATTTTGTTTAAATATCCTTGGTCAATTTATTATGAAAAATATAAAAGTTTAGTTGTGGAAAATTTTTTTTTAAATATAAATCTTTTAAAATTACTCTTATGCAAATATTTACAAAGCTTGAACTTTTAAATCAGTTTCGCTAATTTAAAATCAAGTGTAAATAGTTCAAATATGAAGTAAATAAGTGTAGAAGTAATATTACTTGCGAATTATGCAAAAAACAGAAGAAAAAAATAACCTTTAAGCAAAATAAATAAAAAAAAACAAATCATGAAAAGTTATTTATGTGAATAAAAGATTAAAATCTGTAACAAATTTTCATATGATCTTCACATAAACTTGAATATTTGCTAGAAACAATCAAAAATAATTTAATTAAACGCACCAAAACTTTAAACAACAATAAACAATGAAACGAAACTTTAAATTAATAACATCTATCATCATTATGAAATTTTTATAAATTATGATTTGGAATTATAAATTGTTATTATATATATAAACTAAAGATTAACTGGTTGAAAAAAGATTGGTTAGAAATTAAACAGTAGCGTTTCCAACCAGTAGGTCGCGATCTCTAGGAGTTCAAATTTCCCTTATATAAAAGTCTTCCATTATGTTAAAATAGATCAATTAAAAGAAATAGAGTGAGAAACAACAAATTAAACGAATCATTATGTATTATTTCATTATAAAAACAGTTTTTTTCTTCTTATATACAGATTCACCATTTTTAAATTCGGGCCTGAAATAAAATTTCAGCCATAACTCATCTATAAACGAAGCGCTTTAAAAATCTAGATCGAAAAATTCCTAGTAAATCTATATTATATTCATAAATCATCATCATCATCATCATCATCATTATATATTATAGTAGATTTCGAAGCGCGGCATAACACGGAAATTCAAACAAATGGAAATCTATATAGCCTACATTACATATAACACAAATATGATTAAGTATATTCTATTTTTAAAACTCGATACTAATTTAAATATTTTGTGATTTAAAAAAAAAAATGGGACAAAGATATCCAACAGAGAAAGAAAAGAATAGAGAGAAACCGAAGTTCTAAAAATAGTAACTATTATGTTCGATATGATTATAGATAGAAAGGGTTTAAGGCTTTACGGGCTTCGGGCTACACCGCGATTATTCAATAATACATAAAAAAAAAAAAGTTAACAATAAATAATAGAAACGCTCAGATATTTATTTAATTAAATGTTTATTTTAAATTTGTAAAAAATAAGGTGGAAAGCCTGTTAATATCGATTGTAGAGTTAGAGGTAAATATTGTAAAGTTCAATTTCGGTGTTGTAAAGTACAAAATTTTTCGATATTCTACGGATTATATGATATCTTTCAATCCGGCATTGTGATATTTTCCTTTTTTACTTTTTTTTTTATTTTTTGTGGCGTGTTGACAAGTTTTCGCAGTCGTCTTTTATAGATTTATTCGATTTCGAATATCTAGTAGTTGAACTTTGGTGTTACTCTCCGTTCTCTTCGGTTAACTACCGCTGAAAATGTAGAATTTCAATCGTCGAAGCTAAAAATAACAACAAAGAGAAGTAACAAAAGTTACTGTAGAAGTATTTCTAAACGAATTTTTGCACACAATAATTTTTACCATGTTTAAATGAATAATAATTTTTTTTTATTATTATTATTAAAATAAATTAGTAAAAATTAT